ATTAGTGAATAAGGTGTTGTACGTGCCGAGTCCCTAGGCAGCGTCACCGTTACTGCCGCTGGTGCTGGGGTACGCATTACGCTTTTTCTTTTCTTTTTACTCCCTTTTAGAGGAGGGAGAGTATCCGCCATTGTTTTAGGCCGCTTTTGCATTGGCTTTCTTGTTACGTCCGCCCATGAGTTTACCATCGGTGAAGGCGAGTTGTGCTGCTGTGGCGGAGCAGCCACTGGAGGCAAATCGACCACCGGTGAATGAGTAGGCACCTTTTTCTTCCTTACTCTTCGTTTTTTATTCTTTCGCGGTTGTGGTGGTGGCTGTGACTGCGGGCGTCTTTCTATCATTGGCGGTGGCAGCTGTTCCCGTGTTGTCAATGGTTGGTGTGCTGGGGCCTTTTCAGGAATCAACTTGGCCTGGAAGGCAGCTAGTTTCCTGTCAATGAGAGCCCCAATGTCTGCCATCAGTTCATCTTTACCGCTCCTATAATTGGAGGCAGCAGGTGCTTGTTGTGTGGGCAAAGTGGCCACCTGGGTATTAGAGCGTTCCTGCATCTTCTTGTGGAGGAGATTAATTTCTTTCGTAAGATTTTCCGTCTTGGCCGATAGACTGGCAAGTTGGGAACGCAACTCTGCGTTCTCTCTCTCTAGCCTAGTGACGTTCTCGTTAGGATCGGTTCTTCGCGCGAGCTCCTCTGCCGCAGCTTTGATATTTCGCACAGCCAACCTTATGCCACGAACAAACTCACCTTTTAGATTACGGGATCGATCGGCAACTTTTTCGAGAACCTGGAGGTGAAAGTCAATTTTGCTGACCGAGCTCTACGTCTCCATGAGAACGCATTTCGCGGGCTAGTGTTTCCAGGCCCGGAAGGTTCTTCTTTGCCCTGGTGTTGGTGGGCGTTACAGAAGGATCGAACAGGTCTTCTTCTGTTTCAGCCCCTGTTACACTTTCTCCTCCAGAGGCTGCAACTGGGACCGCCGTAAATTTAGCCGCCACAACCGATGTACTCGGAGGCTTCGCTTTGCGTTTTCGACCTCCTACAGATGTAAGCGACACGAACGAACTATCAGAACCCCCATCAGCATCGCTCTCACCGGCCTGACTGCTCGTATTATTAGGTCGCTTAAGACGCCCACGCTTGTCTTGCGTCGATATTATTGGTATTTCCGACACGGCTCCTTCTTTTTGAACTTGGCCCTCTGATGTTATGGGGCAAGCGGTTAACGCTGGTGCATCACCGCAGTGCAGTGGATTGCCCCCCCCCCCCCCAGATACGTTGGGGCTGCCACAGAGCCTATTTAGGCTACTGGGGGTGGATTCCCCGCCAACACTATGGTTGGCAGGACCACCCTGGGGAGTATTTTTTTTGTGAGACTATATGCCAAGGCAAAGTCGTAAACAGATCTACCCGCATGATCGGTTAAACTGGAACGAAACCATTCAGCGTGGTGGGCGTTAAAATCACCGAGCATCACGATCTCTGCAGATCGTAGCCGGCATTACCGGTATGGAACCTATAGAGGCACGCGTAGATGCAGGGATGGTCGTCGCTGTCTACGCGTAGCCAAAGGATGGACAGGTCCGTATCTTCAAGACTGCCAAGTCGTCGAAAACAGATGTCCTCTCTGACGTACACGCAAACTCCAGCCCGGGGCACAAAGGAGTGTTCTAATTTGTACCCCGGGTAGTAGAGATACGAAGTATCAGCCGGAGAGGACACCTGTGTCTCGGTTAGAAAGAGCAAGGCCGGCTTTGCCGTCTCCAGATGGTAATGGACGGCGTTAAGGTTTGCTTTTTGCTAAGGTTCGTTCAGAAAAAGTAGGGTAGCTTGGGCGTGCATACCTGTTCGAGGGATGCTGGTACCCACCTGGAGTAGACTTCCATTTAATTCCGCTACCAAGTTGATGGGAGGGGGGGGGAGACAGAATTGTGCCTGCGGTCACCTGCACTCACCAGGCGAAATGCAGAAGTAAACTTCTACTTCACGCTAGTATTCTGTGAGGTCGTGGTACCATCCCGGTTCGAACCGGCCCATCCGTGCGACAGTCAAGCTCGCGCGTGGCTCTAACACTGTTCTCAGGCTCACTTATTTAGTCCAACCCGACTCTCAATGAGTGGGGCACATACCGCCAACCGTCCGCGTTGTGATTATTCCATGATGGATTACAGTTTACACACCGCTCAGTGCGCAAAGCACTCCTCTCCCTGAACGTCAACAAGTCGAGTTGATTGGCCTGATGGAGTCCCTTCTATTGTGCTGAAGACGGGTGTTCCGGAATATGCACCGGTTCTGACAAGTCTTTTCCGGTACTCCTACTCCCTTGGCGTAATCCTGAACTTATGGAAGACAGCTTGGAAGTGCACTCATGACAGCTCTAATTTCGTTTTTCTTCATTTTTATGTTATCTCTTCGATGATTTGTATTCAAATGAATGTACCTCCCGGGAATCGTAGCCTATTTATATGATATTTTAATGCTGATCTAGTACAAAATCAATTAAAAAAGTTTATTTTTATGTGCACTGGAAATAACCTATTAGCATTACTTTCGGATCATCCCTGTACAGATTATTAACAATGTACTTTATATAGCGTTTTTGTACTGTATATATAAAAATCAATTCAATACATGCAGTAGTTAAGCCACAAGAATTTTATATTATTTAGGTAGTAATTTTTACACATGATGTAGATAAACAACTTTTTAGCTTTTCACTAGGCAAAGTTAATGTTGTCAATCATTCGGGCTAACAACTTTCCATTCACTAGTTGGGATTGAGGTGGAGTTATTTGTTACAAAATGTCATTATAACTTAGAATTTGCGCTAAAATTAAAGTCTTCCACTTCTAGGAATATTCAGACTTTGTTTTATCCATTTGTAATCTAATATAAAATATAACTAAAATTTCAGAAATAAATATTCGAGATTTTCCTAACTAATTAACTTACTCCGCTATGAAATCTGCTACACATTTTACTTCATTCCTAAATGACGCCGCCCTGGTGACAAAAAAGTCATGGATACTTACGTTACACTTGGTGCAGCAATTCGCTTAATAATAAATGTCATCTTTACGGTATAGCTTCAATACTTTTTATAAAGATATACAATACATCATGCGAACTGTTCATAATTAGAAATGAGTAGAATTTTGAGTATCATATAAAAAAAACACAAACACAAACACTCACGCCTGTCACCCAGAGGGATAGGCAGAGACTACGGACTTCCATTTGGCGCGATCCTGACACCTCTCTCGCCTTCCTTTATATCCATATATGAAGATTTAGACGAATATTTATCGACCAAATCGACGATACATTGAAAATGGGTGAGATTAGGAGTACCCTTAACCGACGAGCGTGTATGCGTAGTATCATATATAGTTTACTTATTAACGTGTGTACGGTCCAACCGTACATTTCTGCTGGCGTTAACATTTTACGCAAAGCAATCGCTATAGTTTGACAATTACAAAAATTGTATTAGTTTACGTAATTTTACCACGATGCACGCGAACTCATTAACATAACATAATAACATTGTTTAACATATTTTAACCTTATATTTTTCACTTGTTTACTAAATTGTAAGAACATAAACTTTAAATTGTTATGGAACATTCGTCCAGTACCCGAACACTTGGTCCTTCGAGCCAGATCGGACGAATTTTCAACACCCGAACAGCCAGTATTTAAGAGATACAGTCCTATTTCTCCTTTAGGTTTGGAATACATAATTGTAATGTTTATAGTAAATATAATTTTTACAGTTTTTACAATCATATAATTAACGTGTTTGCGTGCATGCTATTGAGCGTAATATGCGTGAGAAAAAAAGTAAATTTTTTGAATATTTTATTGTTGGGCCCACGTGTGGGAGGTATACATACGCGGGTGAAACTGAAAGTTCTTAGAAAATCAAAAACTGACCAAACTAGAAAATTATTAATTTTATTATATCTTTTCAAAATAGTGTCGATTTACATCAATACATCGCTGCATCTGATGAAACCATTAACTCGTCCTTAGTCCCTTCGACGGCATTTTGAAACGCAGCCACTGCTTCCTCGGCGTCCATAAAACGTTTTCCTCGAAGTTTTTCTTTTATGGAAATAAATAAAAATCGCAAGGTTTCGCATCGCTAGTTCGGGGCTATAGGCCGGGTGACCCAGTAATTCCATGTCTGACGTCGCCAAGTAGTCGATTGTATGCGACGAGGCGTTGTCGTGGTGAAGGAGGATCCTACTGCGAGGTCGTTTCTCCTGAACTTTTTACAAGACAAGTGGCAAACAATTGTAGCGTAATGACCTATCCTTCCGAAGAACGAGGCCACCATCTTTTTCCTACGCTTGGACCTCTCTTCACTTTAGTTGGCATCTCCTCTGAAGGAAACACCCAGACAGCAGATTATTTCTTTTTTTTTTCTTAGTTTCAGGATCATAACAATAAATCCAGATTCCCTCACCCGTAAGTATGTCGAACACAGCATTTGAGTCACCTCCGTTAAATCTTTGATCCATTTTACGACACAATCAACACGACGGTTTTTGGGCCTCTGTCAAATTATGAGGTATCCACAGGGCACAAAGCTTCCTGACCGCAAAATGTTCATGGAGGATTTTGTGCATTTGACTCATACCGATGTCTAAGCTTGTCCGAATCTGCTGATAAGTCACTCTTTTGTCATACGCCGCACAACACTGATGTTGTCTTCAGTCGTCGCCGTAGAAGGCCGTCCCCCACGCAGATCATCGGTGAGATTAGTGCGACTACGTTTAAACTCATTAAACCAGTTGTAAACAGTGGCACGAGATGGGGCTTCATCGTGAAAGGCCAATCGAAGTCTATCATAACATTGTTGTTGACTTAAATGACATCGAAAGTCATAAAAAATCATTATACGAAACTTTTCTCGCGTTAAATTCATGCTGACGTGACACAGGCAATTTTCTGTATAGAGTGTAACTTTATTTTACTTATGCAATGTTTCCGTTTCCAGAGGAGATGTTGGAGATCCCGAGTAAATGCGTGACGTCGGTGCGTCAGGTGGCGGTCCGCGCCAGCGTGCAGTACATCGAGCTGGAGGGGCGCTGCGACGGCGAGTCGCTGCTGCGGCTCGTGGCGCACGCCAAGCCGCGGGCCGTGGTCGCACTGCGAGCGCGCCCGCACGCAGTACACACGCTCAGGTACATACATATATACTGCGAGCTGCGAGCTGCGACAAGTGCGTGACGTCATCACGTCAGCTGGAGGGGCGCTGCGACGGCGAGTCGCTGCTGCGGCTCGTGGCGCACGCCAAGCCGCGGGCCGTGGTCGCACTGCGAGCGCGCCCGCACGCAGTACACACGCTCAGGTACATACATATATACTGCGAGCTGCGAGCTGCGACAAGTGCGTGACGTCATCACGTCAGCTGGAGGGGCGCTGCGACGGCGAGTCGCTGCTGCGGCTCGTGGCGCACGCCAAGCCGCGGGCCGTGGTCGCACTGCGAGCGCGCCCGCACGCAGTACACACGCTCAGGTACATACATATATACTGCGAGCTGCGAGCTGCGACAAGTGCGTGACGTCATCACGTCAGCTGGAGGGGCGCTGCGACGGCGAGTCGCTGCTGCGGCTCGTGGCGCACGCCAAGCCGCGGGCCGTGGTCGCACTGCGAGCGCGCCCGCACGCAGTACACACGCTCAGGTACATACATATATACTGCGAGCTGCGAGCTGCGACAAGTGCGTGACGTCATCACGTCAGCTGGAGGGGCGCTGCGACGGCGAGTCGCTGCTGCGGCTCGTGGCGCACGCCAAGCCGCGGGCCGTGGTCGCACTGCGAGCGCGCCCGCACGCAGTACACACGCTCAGGTACATACATATATACTGCGAGCTGCGAGCTGCGACAAGTGCGTGACGTCATCACGTCAGCTGGAGGGGCGCTGCGACGGCGAGTCGCTGCTGCGGCTCGTGGCGCATGCCAAGCCGCGGGCCGTGGTCGCACTGCGAGCGCGCCCGCACGCAGTACACACGCTCAGGTACATACATATATACTGCGAGCTGCGAGCTGCGACAAGTGCGTGACGTCATCACGTCAGCTGGAGGGGCGCTGCGACGGCGAGTCGCTGCTGCGGCTCGTGGCGCACGCCAAGCTAACGAAGGGACACTACCTACGATAATTTAAAAATAACACGCTCGCACGTAATGAGGTCATGTCTAATATTGTCAGCTGTCGGCCAGCCGGGCGGACGTAGATACTTAGCTTTGTAACGGTTATCGAAAGGAAAGGGCGCGGGAAGATGCGCGACAAGGTACCTAAATTTTTAACCCAGTGACCTTTACGAATGTGTGCGTGCGTACTGAAATTGTAGGCGTTAGTTATTAATGAACAACAATCAGTTAAAATGATTCTGTCCTAGTTTAGATTTTTTTTATTAATATTTTTCACCATTTATCTATATTATTTATTCTGAGCATTCTCTGCCAATTTGGTCGTACATTGCAAAACAACCCTGTATATTGTTACGACAGCCAGTTGCGTGTTGCATCACGTTGCTCGAGAACGTTCGCGAAGATAACGGTCTATGGCTTCTGTAGTTTTTCGCGGACATTACAAACGTTAAAACTATTGATGCAATCAAAACGCAAACTTTATTTAATTAAAAAACATTTTTCTTATTAATTTATTTTCTTTTCGTTATCCATAATTCTCCAAAAAATTTGAACATCTTCCCCCTCTGTTGTTTTGAAAATCGTATAATCGATATTAATTTTTTTTACAGAGTACTTTCAGTAAATTTCGTGTCAATCGCCCTGTAATATAAAAAGTTTCATACAGGCTATAACACACTATTTCTATGCCTACATCATAAAAGCTTCTGTCCAAATTTTAAATTTCTACTTCAAGGTATGGTTTTGGCTATGCGTTGATAGATGAGTCAGTCACTCAGGACATGCTCTTTTATAACAGATTAAAAATATACCCATTAGTGACTAAAATATGTTGCAGAATTATATAAACATATCTCTTTCCTTCTAGTAAACACTGCGAAAGTGAGGGCATAGAAAAGGTATTCACGCCCAACAAGGGCGAAACTATCGACGCGACTACGGAGTCCCATATTTATCAGGTAATTAAAAGAAATAATTATAAAGTATAATATGATAATGAACTATAACTACTTGTATACATTTTTATTAAATTTTTTTTAGTTTATTATATGAATTTCTTGGATTAGATGCTAAAATATAGATTTATAAGTTATAACTAATATGCTTCATCTTGATGAAAATTTTTAGGAATGGAGGAATGTGTTTTCTTTATTCACTACTTAAGACGAAGGATCCGTGTCGTAGTGGCTTAGCAATGAGTAGTGGCACTGAGTAACGCGAGTTCGAGTCCCGGTCATGCATGCATGTTAGCTTAGCAGTTAGTTGTTAATTCCAAAGACGCTGGTGGCAACTCCTGGTTTCCCTCTTTTGCCTCTTACTTAAACTTAAATGGATTCTAATTATAAAGCACAACTAGTAAGATGTATGCAGGTAGCTTTTATGGCAAGGAGGAGCCAATAGTGAATACTGAGTGTGACAAATCAAAGGAAAAAATATCAAAAAACAATATTATTAAAAAGAAATTGAATTTTTCCATGTATCTAAATATGTAATTGCATTCACCAATGTTTTAATAATAAACATTGGCATTCATGGATGCAGAAATGAATGCGATATGTACTAACATTGGATTGAAATTTTTTTTGAAATGCCTCGTTTCCAGTGAAAATGAATGCGACGTGCTCTTTTCACTTGTCAGGTGAAGCTGACGGACGCGCTGGTGAGCGGGCTGGCGTGGCGCGCGGCGGGCGACGCCGAGCTGGCCTGGCTGTCCGCCGTCGTGGCCGAGCGCGCGCGCCCAAGGGACGCCGACACAGGTCAGTGCACCATGCAGCCTTTGTTTTTTTTTTAACATTTTGTTTTACAGTGTACCCGTGCCCGGTCAGTAGACCATAGAGCCTTTATTTTTTTTATATTTTGTTTTACAGTGCAACCGTGCCTGGTTAGTGGACCATGGAGCCTTTGTATTTTTTTTTATATTTTGTTTTACAGTGCAACCGTGCCCGGTCAGTGGACCATGGAGCCTTTGTATTTTTTTTATATTTCGCTTTACAGTGCAACCGTGCCTGGTTAGTGAACCATGGAGACTTTGTTTAATAAGACAGTGGTTTACTGTGTAACCGTACACTATTATTAATACTAGTGGTGGCTTACTGGTCGAAGTGTGACCGTAGTGACACCCTTCGAATCACAGAATTCCGATACCATCACCTTGTTTCCAAACAATCACTTCAGCTTTATGTGAAGGCGGTAAGTCGAGTGACAGGTGTCAGTGATTGAAATTCGACCATAATACATATATTTCAATTGCAACTGGCATTAATGGGTGTCGTAAGAGGCGACTGTAGGAAATGGCAAGCGTAAATGAGATTGGAATGTATCATCTCATTTACACCAGCCTTATAATACCCAAATCGGTAATCGGTAGCAGCGTTTAAAGATGTGAAAAATCTGGTGCTACGATCATGACGATTAAGGCGAATCCCCCGCACTTACGGAAAAGGCCCATGTATACCAGTAGACTTTTATAGAGAAATTCTATCTATTCATTTCTGCAATATTGTAGGTAAGTGACATTCTCACTCATTTATCAATGAATGTGTTGTTACAGAAGAGCGTGCGGACGACGAACTGATGTCGCTGGAGCCCACGCGTGGGGAGCGCGGCACCGCCCACTGCGCGTCCTTCATCAACTCCGTGCGTCTGTCGGAGCTGCGAGCACATCTCGCGCGCCTCGGCCTTAACGCAGAGTTCAGCGGCGGTGCGCTCGAGTGCTGCAACGGCACCATCGCCATACGCAGGGTACGTACGCTGTCTTGCTTGTGTGCCTACATCCGTCTCGCTCGCTCGCTCAACGCGGAGTTCAGCGACGGTGCGCTCGAGTGCTGCAATGGTACTACTCGAGTTTCGAGTTCTCGAGTTTCAGCGTCGTGCGGTTCTTACAATAAGTTGAGCGCTGTTTTGGTTTGGTTTTTGCGTCACTTGAAATGTATTGTTATTATGAGCCTGTGGCTTGAATTTCACTCAACAAACTAACTAATTGTTTTATTTACAGTTGGAGAACGGGCGTGTAGCGTTGGAAGGCGTGTTGTCCGAAGAATATTACAAAGTGAGAGAACTGCTCTACGATCAGTTTGCTATAGTTTAACACACGTTGTTGCTTTGTGTTACAATCTGTGCTAGGTGATAATAACTAAGCCGCATTAGCTATTATTATTTCAAGTTGGCAGTGACCAAGAAAATTTCGATATGCAGAAAAATTTTGATGAAATGGTGGACATAGCAGACTAATATAGACTTCTCTATGATACATAAAGAAAAGCTAGCCTCCAAATTACTATTTATAAAGCCATCTTTGGATATTCACGAAGGCTTAGCTTAAGTTGTACATATTATAATAATAAAATGAAGTGAATAAACCATCTTTATTATTGAACACCTTTTTATTTAACAACCTTTCATCAAAAACACATAATTCAATAAATACTTTCTGCATTTAAAAACTCACTATAGTTTTTGCGTTATTGCATGGTGCGGGTGACAGCTTACACTTTTGGCGTATCTAGAGATGAACAATGTTAAATCGATTAAAAAAAGGCGATTAACGATACACAAAACAAAGCAAAAATTATCGATTAGCTATCGATATAAAAATTAAAACCGAAACAATATATTTCTTTATAAACTACAATGCAGGTAAAATTAAGTTAAAGTTTAACCGATTCGTTGCGGCACCAATTTTCGACAACTTTTAGCTGTGGCGGCGAACAAATATTTCGCCACAGAAGTTGATGACACGCCTATTGTGCCATCAGCCATGTTTAAAAGTAATGTTCTTTTTATGCTTTTTTCACTTGTTTATACCTAATTAAGCTCATTTGACATCAAACATCAGTTACAAACGGCAGGATACTTGTTTTTAGTGGGTAACTACGTGTTTTTCTACGCGTTTTCTTTGAAATTGAGAGTAAGTGACTTTTTTTTATGCAGAGATTACAAACCTTTAGTACTATTTTTCGTTTTATAAAAAAAATCATTTATATAAGTTTGTACAGCTAAATCACCCTGGAAAATCTTGGTTTTTATTAAATTAAATTTTCACCTAATAAAATAATATTTGTAAATATCAAACAATCAAGAGTAGTGTAGTTGTACCACTTCTAGACCACCTGAGTCAGACGTGGTTCAACGACGTTCGTCGACGCCCGATCCTAAATAAAAAAAAAAAAAAAAAAAGGTTTTGGCATGCTCTGATCACGAATCCGCGGTCCATTTTTGTGTAGAATGCACGGTTCCGGAGATGTGTAGATCAATTGGATGCTGATAAGCAATACCATGTCAAGCCACACGAACTTAATTTTGAGAAAATGCCGTCTAAAGATATCATACCAATTTTCAATAAATTTGTTTGAAAAAAATATGCACCCACCGGTTCTTTTCTATTTGATGAAAGAAATAATGGATTGAAAGTAAATTTTTATCATAAAAAGAGAAAATACTGCTAAGTTTTGTAAAAAAATTAGATTTTTGCATATTGCAAAATATGGAATACGCTATAGTATTCTAAACAGGAAATTAAGGAACATAACACTATTTTGCTAAATTCTAATTACGGGATTTAATGAAAGTAAATGTATGTTAAGGAGCATAAATGAATATTGATAAAAGTATATTCTCACTTACAATTTGTAAAGTAGTTTTAAATAAAAGTCAGTAAAGTAGTTTTAATATTAATATTTATTGATATGAAAATAAAGAAAGCAATTTTTTTAAACAAGCCTGAGGATTAGAAAATTTTATATTCAAGAATGATCCATTCCTCAGACTGATTGTTTCTTAGCAAAGTATCTTAGGTAAGCTAAAAATGATAACTTTAAATCTGTCTTATTTTTGTAAACATTTTATTACAGTTAAGTTAGTTAATTAACAGAGATATTTTATTATCACTTTAACTTAAACAACTAAGCGTTAGACTCATTGTTTTTAACAAAATACTATAATTTAGGAACCTACTTTAATGTCATCGACAACTTTAAATCTTATTTTAGTAATCATTTTCTTGAAGTTAAGTTAGTTAATTAACTGAGGTAGTTTAATATCACTTTAACTTAAATATCTAATGTATTTTAACAGAAGTCAGGATAGGGCTTTTTAAAGATCTTTGAATTTTGGGATCTTTGGGAACATTTTTAAGTATTCATTTAATATTAAATTTCTTCCTGACTAGCCCAATTATTTTCAACTGAGCATGTGGTTATGTATCCAGAACTTTAATCAGTCTCATTGTTTCTGCAATTTTTTTTTTACTTAATATTACCTAAAACTAACGTGATCATCGCTTTAACTAGTATAGCCAAGAAATTACAACAGATAACATGTAAGTTAACAAGAAAATGCTTAATCATCAATCAAATTTTCTTCATCATCAATAAAACCACCCGACTCAATGTTCCTCAAGAAACTATAAAATCCTCTTGCATCTGTTGGAATGAGCTTAAACAAATCTTTTAAATCTTGAATTTTCGCAGCTAATAGTTCACGCCCATTCGGGTATCGGGCCCAGGGCTGAGCTTTTTTACAGACACACAATTTATATTTTCTACTAATACTAAAAGCTCGCTTGGCATTTATGGAATAGTTTCTTTTCTTTTTGGCTTCTATAACTCTACCCTGTAAAACCGCGCACCTTGCTTCATAAGAACCAGAACTTCAAAATTTTCTTTTATACGCTGATCAATAGACAATTTTTCCGTATATGTTAAAGGACATCTACAATTGCTGCTGTTAAATTTCTTCGCACGAAATTTTTTCCTTTCGCACTGAAATAATCCTGATTGGTATTCGTTTTTTCTTTCTTTTGATGCTGAAATAAAAGGGTAGAATTACATAAACCAGACGTCTGTGTAGTTCTACCATTTTATTTTTTAGATCTACCATTGTATTTTTGGGCATATAATCAGGGTCTTCAATGTTTTTACGATTCTGATCAACGGAATTTAAAATATTAACAGTGGCTTGTACATGTCTTCCACGCTAGTAGGACGAGGGTCATTTTCTTAAACAGCACTAGAAATATTCTCATTCGAATGCTTCTTTTTATCAAATGTGTTTGAACTATTTTTGTCATTTCCATTAGTTAATGTCTCTATTGGTTGGCATTTATCGTCGTCACTAACGTTCGAACCATTTTCTCCATTGAAATTAGTAACTTTCTTAGTTTGTTGGTCCTTATTATTATGTTCATCATTTACAAACTTCAATTTCTTTTCTTCAATTGACGAAAACAAAAGGTTAATTGTTTCAAAAGAGCTTGATGCACATCATTAGGCTCTGGTACAATATTTATTTCTGAATGGCTAACTCAAATATTGATGAAATAGTATCCATTGAAATATTATCCGCTAGTGTATAAAGAAAGAGATCACAGCATCTGGAGTTTTGTAATTCTATAGAATAATATAAGTCTCGATCAGTTCTAACATTAGGTACAGGGATATCTTGAGGTTTATTTGTGTTGGCATGTTCAGTATTTTTATTCAAATCTTTTGTATTGCAGTTCGCAAGATTGACTAGTAATTGAATTCTTGATTTTGGCAGTGGCATTATTCTACAAAAATAAGGAAAAATTTAGTAGTAGTGGTGGACGTCTATGAAAATAATACCTAAATAAGTCGATATAACTCATGAAATTTTTTTAGATAGCGATTTTCCCAATATAATTTCAAGGTACTTAAAATATAAATTATTTCTCGTAAAAGCTAACTTACAATATGCAATAATATGTTAAGCACCGTAAACTGCACTATAAGTTTTACTCAAAAGGGCTTAGCTGTTTAGCAATAATGTGTTATGTTTCATAATGCAATACACAGTATAGTTTTGTATTTATCAATAATGAATCAAGTGGTTTATCATACCTATTTATTACAAAAGTTACAATAAATCAATATGATAGGACCAAATAACATTAGTTTAGTATAAGAAAAAGCTTTCCTTTGATATAAAACAATACAAATATTTAATTTACTTGTTTCCTAATTTATATCGGCAGCCTAACCTATTAAGAAAATAACAGAATAATTACTGACTTACCTTGATGAACCCAGCGTAGATTACATACTATTTACTAAAGCAACAGTTTGTACAACTAATCAACTAATTACAATGGGAATATCAGTTATTTTTTCAATTTTTACGTGAACTTCTTTGTTTGGCGCTGGCCGAAGAACGGAATAACATTTCGCAACACAGTATCAAGTCTCATAACATCTTTATAGTGACGACAGATGGAGATACTTTGAATGTCGACCATGTTAAGGAGCTTGACGGTGTTTTGGCAAATGTTGTATACGTGATTTCCCATTTGTTTTATGATATAATTTTTTTTTTTCGTACTTATTTGATTTAAGTAACTTAAAACTCTTTTGCATAATGTTTAATAAGTAACGCGTTATCAGAAAACATCAATATCTCTAAATTTGACTTTTTGTGGGTTGACACATTATTGCTTATCAGCATCCAATTAGCTAATATCTAATTGATATCCGGTAAGGGCCTCCACCGTCATTAGCGTCCCATTGTTCCTATTTCTATTGTTCTATTGTTCCTTAATCACCTTCATTGCAGCGTGTGCGTCGACTATATCAGTGCTATTGTTTATTATAATTCTTTGTTTATACAACGCTAATCTGAATCATCAATAAAACACATTACATAATTTTGTTACAATTTTTATTTATAAAATACAAAATCTTATTAATTATTATCTATAAAATAGGAGCGAAACATCTCATCCACTAAAATATCGTTGTACAATGTGTTCCTTGTAAATATACTCGTAAAACTATGTATTGAACATCCTTGAAACTTATATAGTAAATACATTAAGCAATATTCGCCACAAACTGAAGTCCACTCATTCTGAATCCTATCAACATTCCAGTTCCATCTTTTACAATTCCTTTTTAAAAAACTCTAGATGATATCGTACAGGTGATCGTCCATATGAATCAAAATATTGACCGACGTCATTCGTATCGATATATAAAGCTACCCAATGTGACCCTGGTTTATCATCTGTATCCAAATTACATATTATATACGTTGGTACGTGGGTATACATAGGCAGTCTATTAGCTGCATAAACATTATTTTCTAGACTGGGGTGAATCTTTTTCAGATGTTGTTGTACATCTAGTGTATCCATGATATTACTGCTATTAGTAGATTATTACAGTACCTAGCTACTCAATGAATAACATAGGAATGGTCAATTATAGTGATTTCTACATATTAAATTGCATTTTTGTGATATACAAATCGTACTTGAGTCATTGATCACCAAACAAAACACAATACGAAGAAATGTTGAGATAGGCAACGGAAATGTGAGATAAACTGGTTGACGCATAAAGTAATTATCAACTCATTACGGAAATACTTTAGATTAGAATTTTTACGTACTGGTGGTATATAAGACCAACAAACGCAGTCATCGAGTTAGTGTACGGTCGTTTGGCTACAGTGGATCTATCAATAGTACATTTGTGTTACTTCAATACACCAAAGGCTATGGATGTAAGTGTTTATTCTATTGACTAAATTACTTTTTTTCTGTTATTTTCATGTGTGTGTGTATTATTTTATTTAAATATTGTGTATGTATATGATTAAGCCGTGGTAACTCAGATGGTTAGCGCTAGCTGTAAATTTCACAGTACGCGACCCGGGTTCGATCCCCGCCAGCACCAATTAAATTGTTAATAGCAATTTTAAGTGCTTATTACCACGTGCTTGGTGGTGAAGGAAAACATCGTGAGGAAACCTGCATGTCTGAGAAAATTTCGAAGGCATGTGAAGTTCACCAACACACATTGAGGGAGCGCGGCGGACATTTCCTTGCTCTAAAACCCTCTCAGAAATGAGAGGAGGCCTATGTTCAGCAGTGGACTTTAATAGGCTGTAACTTTAACTTTTTTAACTTTTATGATTAAGTGTTAACAAATTGATATTAACATGATAACTGTGTTGTTGCAGAAATCATTGAGCTTCGATGAAGATACCTATAAACAGTATTACTACTCGCCACTCTCCCCTCAAGAAGAGAGTGATAACCTCGTCATTAATAATAACACATGCGATGGTGGAAAAAGAAAATCGCAATCGATTGATCATTTTTTTGAAGCTGAATCAAAAATAAAAAAGAGGAAGCTGTTATCATCAACCGTAGCACGAGCCGCTAGAGATGGTGTATCATACATTTCTACTAATTCTGACGACGGAGACCAAGCGACGCATCTCATCAAAATTGAAATGTACGATATGAAGAAGCTATCCAAGATTCCAACTACTGATCATTGGAAACATGCTTCCACTAGAATTAAATATTACGTAAAGACTAATAAGGATAGCATCTACGACAACACAAACGCCCTCGTATACAATATAACAAAGACAATAGCAGAAAGTGAAAAAGTTAAAAAATACTTTTTTAACAATGACAGTCATTAGCTGATCATTAGTGAATGTGATTCTGTTTACTTCAATTACAGGAAGACAAGAGCGGAAGGAAGAGATGAGTGTGGCATACGTGTACAAAACACATCATTGAATAACAAAACTACAACACTGAGTGGAGAAGAAAACGAGAAGAGTATGCAGTACTCAAGAGCTGAATATCCATTCTTCAGTTCAAAATCTAGCCGTTTGCTTAGTTTCGAAAACTGGCCTCTAGTTATGCGACAGAAACCTGAAGATCTTGCAGAAGCTGCTTTCTTTTATACTGGCCATGCAGACGGGACCAAGTGTTTCCATTGTGGTGGTGGTTTAAAAGATTGGGAAGATGATGATGATCCTTGGCAGCAGCATGTTCAGTGGTTTAGTCAGTGTGCTTATGTAAAATTTCAACTCGAACAGTGTTTTGTATTAGATTAAATAGAAGATTTATAAAGAAATAAAAAAAAAATATATTGCATACAATTTGTTTTATTTAATTTTATAACGTTTCACATAGTTACATACACACAAAATGCATTACACATAACACATAAAATCTAACACACAACACATATTATAACCTTAACTACTATAGTCTACAGTAACATTTCTGTTTTTATCTATCTCAATAATATTATCAAACTCAGTATAAACTATACAGTTAATTGTTTGTATTAATGAGGATTCAAATCGTACTTCTATTCTTACACTACCATGCTTTATGAGATTCCAATGAGTTGATGAGTTAGCTGATAAATCAGGAGTTAAGTCAAATGCTAATAGACAGTAACCTTTGCCATACTGTTCACAAGAGATTCCATTTCCTTCATTAAGAAAGTGAATACCAGTTCCCGAGAATAGAGTATGATATGCTGATGTAAATATGCTATTATTAAAAGATGGTTGCAAAGCTTTTGAAGGTATTTGTTGACCATCAATATATAAGGTGAAAGAATTAATACCATAGTTTTCAAAGTTAAATGGATTTTTAGTAAGGGAACCATTAAATGCAGAATTGTTCACAAATCCAATTATACATCTTTTCGGTACCTGTCCTAAAAATATATTATCAAGAGTTTTTCCTTGAACACCCGAAGGAATTGTTAAAACTTTTACTTCAGCTCGAGTAATAGGATATTTAGCAGTGGTAGAAGCTAAAACTTTTTGATGTGCGAGTAATACACTTGGATTAATTCGTGCTCGTCGAACAATAAGAGTTGCGTCCGTAATACAAACTTTAAACTTTACATCGTTTGATCCAACAATTAAATTAAAACTCTCTCTTGATCGAACCAATTTAACACTCATTTCAACACCATTAATTAAAAATTTATCTTGGTTAAAAATGTCACCGTGAAGATGACCAATCATTTCTATTTCCTTACTTTCACTAATCAATTCCTGTCTTTTAACAAATCCTATGTTTTTACCATCTGTAGAATCCATTTTTCCTGCTGTATCCTCATACCAAAGACTACAAGTAAGATGAGATTGTTTAGCAGCAGGGGCATAGTTTAAAAGGGTTTCCATGTATGCTCGATATGCATAGGTATTATTAGGTGGTGATACAAGTTTTTGGTTTAAATAAACATCAAGTTGACTAAAAAGTGAATGCAGCCAATTATTTACAGGTGCTACTATTGTAGTAGATACCAAGTTAGTTGAATCTTGATTTAATACTTTTGCCTTTATGTGGAGTAATGTATGAGACAAATTCTATGTAGTCATCGCCGGTCCCAGGAACTTGAAACTCGATAGGTCCATCATCACCAAGAGATGAAATTGGTTTATAATGAATCCACAATCCATTTTCAATGCTAGTTTGTGTAGACGGTAGTGCAAACAAATCCAATTCTGACTTAACGCACTCGCAAGAATGATTATGAAGGAAAGACATATTTAGTTTGAAAATATATCTTTGATATTTTTTGGTTTTAGACTAAGTTTTTTCGCAGCTTTCACTTTAGCAGTTAATGGTGGAATGAACGATGTCAATCGTTTTCTTTTAGTTTTATACCCAGATCCAGTCATGTTAAATTGATCAATTTTCTCATCAGCCTTTCGTTTTAAATTCGTACTAACTTGCTTTAGACGATCTTTTATTGAGGCTTCCATAGGACGGGCTTGAACCATATCCGATAAAAGTCCTACTCCAGCGCTTAATGCCTCCTTACCAATCACTCGAGCACCACTTGAAAGTAAAGGTAAAACTGATCTGAATAACCCCCCTAAGAAGCTCCCAATACCATGACCGCGTTGATATGGTGAACCCTTATAAATTACTCCAACTCCTGATCCAGCTTGATGTGTATAATAATTTTCATATGGACATTTATGATGATCACGAAGAGAATTCATTATTATAATTTTCGGAAATGTAGTTTAATACACACGGTTCCAAACTGGAATGGTATTTTTTGTCCTGTACTCGATCTTATAACTATTTCCAACGTATCGAACTCTCTTCGCATAACAGGTAAGTAGTGAGGTTGAGAGAAAACGTGCATTTTATTTGCACCATAAATGTATTTTGTAGGATCTAATGAAATGACTCTTAATAAAGGAGTCATAACATCACCCACAATCTGAGGATCGATAATGTCGCAATATAGAAATAGTTGAGATGGTAACCCTAAGTGTAAATTAGCAGGACACTTTCCAAAATTTCTCTCTAGGAGATTTTTATTTGGTTCATAACCTAGCTGTAAACTTAATTTGGGTGATAATGTTACGGATGTTATATTTTTATCCAATACCGAAATAGACACAAATTTTGTTATTTCATCATAGCGAAATTTCAAGTTCTCTCCGATACCATTTAACACTCTTAAAATATGCTCAACGTTATCATAGTTGGTAGCTGGAATATGTTTTTTGTAGTACACTGTGGATGGTTTATCTTCATTAGGCATTAACATAGATTTTGTAATGTATATAACATTTTCATGGTCTTGAACAGTAAACATGGTACATGGATATTGAAACTCGACAACTCCAACCGACCATTCACCTTCTAATTTTATAGCTTTTGGTAATTTCGTTGAAAAATTTGTGGTCTTGTTATCAGGAAAGTATTCCATTGAACTATTGCTGAGCAAAGTTAAATAGAAACTTTCTTTATTCATATTTCTTTTAAACTAGAAGCTAAAATCCAACTGTTAAATTTATCTGGATAACCTTTCCACTTCACTAATACTTCTTTTCTGTTACCTGAATAACGAGTGTCAATTATTTTATCTATTTTATGTTGTGAGGTGGGGTTGTAAGTGATTTTCTGTAATTCTCTTTCATAAAAAGTACCAATTATTGGTTCATTTTGTAAATCTGTTATTGTATAAACAACCCATGGAGATCTATCAATTATTGAAGATATAATAAATATTTCATCACTCCAATTTGATTCATATCCTTTTTGGAATACATGTTTATATTTAGTTATTCGAACATAATCACCCACATTGAAATTTGGTTTAGGATTTTCTAAAGAAAGTTTTTTTGACCGTCTATCATAAAGATTAGTCCAAACTGTCATAATATTGTTGGAATTTACATCACATGGGCACACCTTAATACTAGAGTGAAAGCTGTGATTATAAGAGTATATTAAATCTTGTAAAACATCTATATATCTATAAGTATTATTATGAGTGAAATAACGCCACATTTTCATTTTTAGTGTTCTTTGAAATCGTTCAACAATACTGGCCTTAATGTCAGGATTGTTAGTGGTATAGTAATTAATCTTTTTGGATTTAAAGTATTTTTGTACATCTTTTGAAACAAATTCTGTACCTTTATCGGATTGTATGTGAGTAGGTGTTAAATTACTTTCAGTAAATATACTTTCAAAACATTCTTTAGTTGTTTCTGAGTTTTTCTTTTTCATTGGTCTTGCAAAAGCATATTTACTAAATACATCAATAATACAAAGTATATACTTGAAACCATCATTATATTGAGAATAAGTTCGCATATCACTTAAATCAGCTTGCCACAGTTCATTAATATTTGATAGAATGTACCTATTACGCGGGAATTTTTTTCGAATGGGTTTATGTAATGTGTATGTTTCTTGTGATTTTAACCATTCCTTTACTTGCTTTTTATTCATTTTACCCTTCATGGCTTTTGATAATTTATCAATACTACCAAAACCAGCGGGATTAGATGGATCATAATAAATCCTGTTAATTTCTTCTAGTACGGAGTCCATTTTTCCCACTCAAGTCCTTTACGTATTTTAGTTGTAGACTTTTTATCTCTACTGCACGGTGTAGAAAACTCTTGAACTTCAATCTCAGAGGGTTTGTTCAGATCTTTTGCTTGAAGTTGGTTAATAAACTCACATCTCCTTGGATTTCCAATATAAGTAAGTGGTACTTTAATATCTTTTAATGCTTCAGCAAATCTAACCCACCCTACCGGATCACTTCTTTTTAGGGGTCTTAGTGAATCATTTATTAAATCAACAATATTACTTCCAGGAATTTTTTCACTATCAATTATGACTGTACCTTCGTTATCCCAATGTATTTTACTTTTACTTGTTTCAACTAAGTTTAATAATAACTGCCCTTTTTTATGATAAGTTTTTGGTATTAAACTGAGTATTTGAGCTGGTGTGTAAAGTGGATTTTCATCATTTTCTTTACTTTTAATGGATCGATTCTCCTCCAGCAAAGATTCAATATCAACTGAAGTTTTTAGATCTCTATCTTTATTTTTAAAACCAATTTTTGACTCATTTGAATCTTCATTAGATGTATCAGAATAAATTGGTAATTTGAGTGGTTGACGATCCTCTTCGGTAAAATGAAGGTATCTTTGCAGTGTTTGTAAATATAATATCCATTTCTTTCGGTCTTCCGTCTTACTATTCATAATATTTTGCATTTCAATATCTAATCGAGATAAATTACTATTAACCTTATTTTCTTGTTTTAATTTTTCAATCAATCCAGGTTCGATAAGTATCATTTTCTTTGCATTTTCCATGTTAACTGGCTAGTCCACTCACTAATCCACTCAATATTGCACCTAATATTGTTGGTAAGAAAGCCCCTCCTTTTTGTATAATTATATTTTTTCTTAGTTTATGTTTACACTTACGTACTAGTTTACGGAGTATGTTTTTATGTTTATTCAATTTTTGTTTATCCTGATCTTTAAGAGGTACTTTTCCTTGTAAAACGTTATGAATACACTCACAAATACAGTTAATTTCTTCTTCATCACACGTTTTAAGTAATGCTCTTTGATATTTTGGTTTAAGCGTATGCAAAGCGGTTAGCAAATGTTTATACGTTGTGAGTCGACGATGCATCATTTAGCAATGATTTCAATTGTTTGATTCTTGGTGTATTTAAACTCTTTTGTGGGGACGTAGACTGTACAGAAACCATTAAATGGAAAGACATTTGTCTTGATACGACAAAAATCATTGGTATTCTGTTTTAAATCTACCATTAAATATCCATGCGCCTCTAGAGTTGCAGCCCTGTAGGCATTTTCAATGAATTTTGGGTTATCTGGTGATACTTGTCTTGCTAAATATCTTATTTGAGTTTTATCTCGAGGGTTTTTAAAATATATTATATAACTTGAGTTTAAAGATATGTCTCTTTGTCCTTTACCCTGATGAAATAAATTTTGTGTTAGATAAAATACACTAAGATTCCTGTGATGACTACCTTTTGTAAATATATCCACAATTCTTCCATCGGACTCTCTCATTAGATCATCAATAATAACAAGATGTGGGTTTTCACCATCAAACATATTAAGATTTGGAATTCCTTGATGATAGTTAACATTTGGTAAATTATATAATGGTTGCATTTCATCAAAGCACCATGTGATCTGATTAAAATCACAATTACATATTTCTGTAACTGATTTTATGAAATTTGTTACAAAATTTGACTTCCCACACCCACTTAGTCCTGCCACAATAGCAGTGAACGGATGGATAAAGTGAAACATAACACACGTCTAAAGTTCAAAGGGGTGAAATAAAAAATGAAAGTGTTGGTGTAAACAATTAATATATATTCCAAAAATTATATAAAACAGAATTATCTGTATACTATTTCTAACACAATTAGTACATCATAATTTTACAATTAACTCAACCTCAAATAAATAGAAACAACAATTAGTACATCATAATTTTGCAATTAACTCAACCTCAAATAAATAGAAACAACAATTAGTACATCATAATTTTACAATTAACTCAACCTCAAATAAATAGAAACAACAATTAACTTAAATTATTTACAATAAAACAATGTTTAAATATGTAATAAACTACGTCATATTATAGTATTATCATAATTTTACAGTCAATATAAATTTTTCTTAAACGCAGACATAAAAGTAAAAACTATCAACACTTAACGCAGTTTATAATGACCCCAAGCTAATGTTTCAATATTATTATCTAA